TCACTTCTTTGCCTTCCAGACACTTTTGGTGCTAATGGCTGGAACTGGACTGGATGGGAAGGTGATGTGTTGGCATGAACTGCCTTAGCAACAAAGGAAAAGTGGCAGTCACTGAATCCTGTCTCCTACCGTGACTGGCTGCTGTGTCTTATCAATATCCCTCGAAAGGGATTACCTGTTCAACAAAATTGTTCAGCCTCTTGCCTTTATAACTGGAAGGATGTTACCCTGTGCTTAAAAATTGAAATGCTCCTGCAAACATTTATAGAAGCTTATACACACTTGCTTTTGTGCCAGCACTGTCCTTTTCTCTGACTAGTCAGTATAGGACAACCCAGAGGTCTGTCCCTGATAGTCACCCCCAGTGCAGGTTTAGATATTCTTGCCACAGGGGTCTTCCTGTTGTACCTTCTCAGTTACTGACAGCTGGGTAAAGTGCTGCTGAGCAGCAGTGGGGTATTGAGAACATTGTTTAAATAAAGTTTGCTCACTCTTCTGGCATTTGTCTTTTTGATAAACGTATAGGTGGCCATTAGATCATCATTCAAGTCTTAACTCATGAATTTAACTCCTAAAAGTCATAAAGGCTAAAATGAGTAAGGTTAATGCAGCAGCATTTTATTGCTCATGAAGTGAACACAGATATTACATTTGATTAATTTTTTTGCTGTAAAAATGTACAAGGATGTCTGCATGTCTAGGACTGTGAATATAATTTTCTTATTAGTCATCAGCAGATAATAGGATCCTGAACTATATGAAAATTGTTTATTTGAAGATTCCAGAAGTTTTCATTAAGTAGCTTTTGATTATGAAGTTTCTTATTATGATTTTGCTCTGTACTGGAGCAGTCCTTGACTTAAGTTAAGAAGTCACTGAAAACAAGTCTTGGGGAAAAAAATTTCATCCCTGTCATATCTCTTTATGCAAGTTTGAGATTCTTTCACTTTGTTTTATCATCATCAATTTGTTTTATCTTCATCTTTTTGTCTTCTTTTATCACAGACATGTTCTTGTTTTGGTGTACTTTACATGCTTCAGTTTTGCATGCTGGTATTCCTTAGAATCCATTGTTTTCTGAAATTTTCCAATTTATTTGCCCATTTCCATCATTGCTACTTTAACTTCCTTAAAAGATGATGCTTTTAACCTTGCTGCTGTCCTTTCCCAAAATGTGCCCTCACCCTGTTCCTCTGGGTCCATTCTCCTAGCTGATTAAAACCATTGTCTTCAGCCAAGGATTATTTAGTCTTTTAGTTGATTCTTTGATACAGAGAAGAAGTTTTGTGGCAAAATTGAGCCTCAGCTCACGCATCGGAGCTGTGCTTCCTGGAAGTCTCCCACTGAAGTTCTTTGTTAGATGGTTTCCTCCTGCCTGGGCTGCAGGTACAATTTTCTTTGGATTTGCAGGCAAGTCCTTCCAGGTCATGTATGTTTATTCTGTGCTCTTGTGTGTTGTTCTAGAGGAGCTGGAACGAGTGTGAGTCTGGGACACCTCTTGTGGCATCACAGCTGTCAGGTTTCTTTACTGTCTTTGGCTCCAGTCCAGAGCAAGCTGAAGTCAATGGAAAGATTTGAATGCCACTCCATCTGCATGAATCAACTGCATAAATGCTTGATAGAAGCGCACCAGAAACAGGAGAGGAAAATTGTCCTTACACTAGCTCTTGGTTTTGAATGTCTTTTAAAAATAGTTTCTCACTCATAACAATACTTCTTTAATAAAGTGGGTTTTTTCTACATTGAAATCATGCTAGTGATTCTTATGTAAGTTTGAAATAACTCAATTAAAAACAAGTATGTGTGTTGCTCAGTTTGTATTATGGCTATTTAAATCCCAGAGTATGTATTTTTGTAACAATGCTGCTATTTTATATTAACGGTTTCTATTTTCAAAATCATCAATGAAATGAAAATGGTTTAATTCACTTCTCTTATAATGGTGGTGCTTACCACTATAACTAGTACCCTTATTTCTTTAATTCTTATTGTTTCTCAGGAGCATATTCATCAACATAGAGCAGTTGGAAAAAACCCTCTTCCCTGAATACATACACAAAACAAGTGTGACAGGCTCATGCTACGTGTTCAGGTTACAATCTATAAATGTTTGAATGACCTTGCATTCATATATTTGAGTATTAAACCTTTTCAGAAGAGAACATTGTTGTCTAGAATCTTATATGCAGCCTTTAGAGTTGTATTCACAAATATTACGCACATGGCTGTTTGCTATTTAAGTAGTTTTGGAGGGTCTGATGTCAGCTACTTCCCCTAAATAAAATACTCAGGACATGTAACACCTGGTTTGGAGCCAACTGGCTTTGCTTTGCTTCCTCTCCAAATACCTTCATTCACAAGTGAGCAAGATGGCTCCTCGTGCTGTGAAAAAGGAACCCAGAAATTAATGGCAAACGCAATTTTACACAAAATATTTTCAGTTTTGAATAGAGCTCGGTGAGAATTTCATCCAGCTTCCAATAAATTCAAGGGGAAGATTTCTTTTGGCTTCAGTGGGATTTTGACTGGAACCAATTTGCCGAGTGCAGCGCTGTGGGGAGCAACACGAGCCGGGGGGATGGAAGGAGTCATGGCTTTTTTTGTCCAGTCCTCTGCCACTGGGAAGGACCTGACTGCCACCAAAGGAGGGGGATTTCTAGCAAGTTGAGCTTCAGTGCTCTGAGACAGCAGCTGTTGCAAGGCAGTGACCATGGAGGAGCCCAGACCTGTGAGAAAAGGAAGCTGCTTTGCCATTGCTCCCTCGGAGGAGGTAGCAGAATGGACAAAACCATGGGCCCCAAGGGCTCATGCTGGAGAAAAAGTTGATGGGAAGCTGAAATCTTTGAAGAATTTAAGGTTGAATAAGTGTCTGGAAAAGCATAATCTGACCTTCTGGAGACATGAAGCTATCTGTGAAGAGTTTAAGGTTAAGTGTCAGGACTAGAGATGTCCATTGGCTAGCAATGGGGCCAGATTTCCACTGTGAAATATTCTTATAATCATCCCAAAATTTTTATCTTGATGCACTTCACTCTTAGAACAAGCTCATAAAATCTGAATAATGCTTGTAATCCGAAACGATCTCTCAGCAGTGTGTCTGTTGAGAGAGGGACCAGGTTGTCTGTGCTGAACCCTTTCTGTTGCACATTGTAAACTCAGGTTCATGGTGATCATTCCTTGACTGAGCAGACAGTTTGGAGATGCTCTTACCGTCTATCATATAACTTTTCGAGGCAGTTTTTCTCCTTCTCTTTGCTATTGGGTGGTTAATTGTTTGGGTTTGTTTTTTTTTTTTGGTTTGGTTTGGGTTCTTGTTTTTGGTTTTGGGTTTGGTTTTGTTTTTGATTTGTTTTTTTTTTTACCTTTACTGTATTCTTTGTTTTCTTTCCCACTGCCCAGGGTCAGAACTGTCTGCAGTGTGTTTCCTGTTATGGTGCCTCTCTTGTGGTATATCCTTCTTTCTTTCTTCTGCTCAAGTACTGTGTATGAATCTACCATAGGATCTTAATGAGTAGTCCAAAAACCCCATATCTAATGGGGCCTCATCTGAGTGAAACTGCCATAAAGTCTGCAAAAGTAGTGTTTGCTTAGGTTTTTTTCTGCTTGATACCTCTTAGAATTGCTTGAAGGTTGTTATAACTATTTTTACAGCAAGAGGCAATGCTTCTTTCTGGATAGGGAAGTATGGGAGGTTGGATTTAAGGCTTTTTTTAATGTCTGTTCATTCTAAAAATGAAGGTGTTTAATTTAGCAAAATGGAGTAAACATCCAGGTGTATAGAGGGGTTTTTATTTACCTTTAGCAGAAAACTGATGAAGTTATATCAGACTAGTTACTTTCTCTGAGAAGGCTGATTCAAAAAAGTTCAAAAGTTGAGAAACTTGCATGAATTGCTTTTCATTTTTCACGTTCCTCACTGACAGATGTCAGGAAATTTTAAAGGCTTTAAAAATATTTCCTGTGAATGCTTTTAGTAAGGAAATGTTCACTTCCAGTCTGAACTTGTTTCAGCACTTAGTTTGGTCACCTTGATATAAGGAGCTTATATATTTATTCTTTTCAGAGTTCCAAAGCATAGGGACTGTACCTGGGCATGCTGGACAGTGAAAGTTTCCTTAGAGAGGGGTATTCTTAGTGTGTGACTAAATTACAGTGCTCAATTAGCCTTTTTTTCCAGGACTTACAATGTTGTCAGTAGCATTGCAAGGCTTTTGGCAGCCCAGTATTTCAGACCTGTTGAGTGTGGGAGCGGGTCAAACTCTCTAAACTAAATTTATGTAGCTAACCTTTATATACTGACACAGTCTCTGGGAATTAAGTTTGTGATACAGGAACTTCAGATTTACATAAATACTGTAATTATTCTTGAAATAACTAATGCTAGTGCAGTAAATTCAGAAAATATTTTCAGTTAAATCCAAATTCATGGTGGTTTCCTGCTGTCTTCCTTGCACATCTGTTCTTAGTTTAAAATGCCATCTTCTCTCATCCAGAAGTTTCTGTTCTCGTGACTCAGAGGTGCAGCTTCTTGTTCTTGGAAATATGGAAGGATCCCAAAGTTAAATGTGTCTTGGTAATTCCTACTGATATAGAGATATCTGTGTATGCAGGGTGGCTGAGGCCCAAGTTGCAGTTACCAGTAGTGATCCTAGACTAATGGTATACTGGGTAGCCCAAAACATCACCTATTTTTATGGGTTTGATAGCCCTGGGGAGCACTCATCACCTTGCAGAACAGAAACAACTTGTGTCAATTCACTCGTCCTCAAACAATTTCTAACCCAATTTTTTCTGTTTATTTGGTGATTTTGAAAATGACCCAGTTATGGAGAAATTAAAATGTAATTATATTTTGACCACTTACTTCCCAATGAATTCACACAACAAATGTAACATAGGTGAAAAGTGCTGAAACCAAGCGTTTTAATTAAAGAAGATCTTCAGCTGGCAATTAGCTTTGAAATTCAATTTTCTTCTCCTTTTTTTCTTTTTTTTAATAGGGTGGAAAGAAGTCCTACAGTGGGCCATGTGGGGGCCGCGATTGCAGCGCCGGATGCAAATGTTTTCCAGAGAAGGGCGCACGGGTAAGTTTGTTTTCACTAATACAACTTGTCCTTGTGTCTCTTATCAATCTTTTTATAAATAAACAAATAAACCCCAAGTTAATATGTGTAATTCTCAATCTAATGACCTCATGAAACCACAAATGATGAAGACCAGCTGCATTTCAAATGTCCCTGGCCAAGATTTCAAAAGCCGTTCTATAGGTTTACAAATGGCTCGCTTTGCAATGAGTCTTCAATGGAATCTCATTTCTTTGTGATCTGAGCCCTAGTTCAAAAGAAGTCAGATGGTTTTGAAGTAGATTACAACAATTAAAATTAGGAAAATCAAAGTATTGTGGACTTCCAGTACAGATTTTGCCCAGCCCTTACTGCAATAGCTTCTAGTTGTGGAAGTGTTTTTGACTTGTGCATTTGTTTGTGAAGGAACAATAACTGGGAGTGAGTCTCAGCCATTCCCTTTGAGAAAGTCTTTTGTGTAGCTAAAGCCTCTCTGTCTGAAGCCTGCATTTGAAGCAACCAAATGTTTGAGCAAGACTTCTGTAAAAATCTTTTAATTTCCTTTGATTATATGAAAAGACTATAAGTTTTATCTTAGCACCGCTGCTTTTTTCCTGTCTTACGGTATGGAGTTACTGACTTCACTCTGCTTCAATTACATTGTTAATTTTGGTCCAGACACCACCTACTTAATATTTTGTCTTAAGCTCTAATGTATTTTAGCACATATGAAAATGAATCTTAGAGATTTTGGTTATGGAGGTGAAAGGAGGAAAGAGCTGCATTGTAGGTACTTGAAGAATTGAAAAGGTTTAAGGAGGAGGGAAATAATAGCAGTTGTCTTGTTTAATAAATCAGTTGTTCTTCTTGAAATCATATTGAAAAGTCATCCTTTGTGGGAAAACAAAAGAAATTAAGTCTTATTTAAACACTAGCAGTCCTGATTTTTTTTCCTTTCTATTTCGGTGACAGTATGAGTATATTCAAGGCATTACTTTCTAGGACTGAACTTAGGAAAATGTTGCTATTTCAAAATGTTTGTCAGCATGGGCTTAAATGTTTTCCTAATTGCAGACAGAGTTGAGCGTGAATGCTTAATTGATAACTGATGATGTGTTTGCTCTGGAAGTATAAAAATTCTTTCAATTCATCATGCGGCAGAGCGAAAACAGGTCTAAACAGATAAGTGTAAGAACTTTTTGCAAGGAAGTTCTCAACATAACCTAGAATATAAGCTAAAGCCAATTGCTCAACACCTTTTGTGATTAGATACTGTAAGGGACAGACCTCGTTTGGTTCTGGAACACAATATCCTGTAAGTGCTTTGACCTTTAGATACCAATGAGCATCATTCTTCTGTCTCTTTACATTCCCGGGGTTCAACTTGATTGTTTGAACTGGCCACAACGCTGTTGACCTTGCAGTTTGAGCTCTTGGCATCTCTTTTGTTAAGATGTCACAAAGATTTTAGGCTGTTTTCATTGCTGACCTGAGAACTCATTTGGCTTTTAGCTTGTTTCTTACGTGACCTGTATCAGTAGGCATTTTCAGTCCTTTAAACACGTGTTCCATCCTACCGAGACCTGTCCGTGGAGCAAACTGTCTGCTGGGAGTGGTAATCTTTCCCTTTTACAACACTACTTCCATCAAGCCGTCCTGAGCCCTGCTGACACCTTCTTGGACATCTGCAGGCAGCTACTGGAGGCCTGCCATGCCAGAGGATAAGGAGGTGACTGGCTGAACTGGGAAAGCGGATGGTGTGATTATGTATCCTACAGCACGGCTCCTTTCTTGCAGGACACTGTACAGCCCGAGGCTAATTCCTTGGCTTCCTGCCTAGCTTCTTCTCCATTGCTGCAAAGCCTTTAAGTTCAAAAAGGCAAATGGGAGACGGGACTTTGCCAATGCCCTGAATCTATATTTTGTTTAAAAAAGTGTTTCAGCTGTCAATTTTGCACAATTAACCAGATCGGAACAAAGCTAAGCTTTCTTTTTAAAGAAAAGAAATAACTAAAAAGCACAAGAAAAATGACAATAAGCTGACAGCTTAATGAGAATAATATTGGCAGTGTCCTTAAATGTCCTCCTCAAATGCACTTCAGATCAAGCTGTAATGAATTTGGTTCTGACCAGATATTTAAAAAATTTATTTGGGCAATAAAAATGTCAAAACTGCTTGATTAGTGGAAGATATTCCTAGAATTGGCATGTGGACATGTAGAACCCACATGTCCACATGTTCTTGTTTTTGCTATAGACTGTTAGTGCATGTTCAAGATATATTAAAAAAAGACCAAAACCCGCAAAGAAACCCCAGCCAAAAAACCCAAACCAGTATAATCTCTCTGTCTTGAAGAGTGAGCTTATTAGAAGACTAATCTCTATAAAGTGAGTCAGCAATTTGTGGAATAATTGAGATTCTTTTCTGGAGGAAGGGTGGTACAGTACTTGTCCAGCAGCCACTTAGGGAGTTCTCCCAGCAGATTGGTAAGGCACGTCTCCTAAAGGAGCAAAATTTCCTTTCTGTTAGTTGTCCAAATACTTGCATTAAATTTAAAAAGCCTTATTGCTATCTTGTACCCATTTTAGGCTGTTGCATGAAGTTTGTTGTGCAGGTGAATGATCTACAGCTAGAACATTTTTGGGACTGTCAGAAGAAATTATTGTGTTTAAAACAGTGGTTTTCATTCCACTTTCTCACTGTTTGCCCACAGTTTATGGACAGGGATAATGCCCTTTGAAAATGTCATGCTGTATTGGTGGCTCTCTTGCTACGAAATGCACTGCAGAGAGGTCAGCAGGGACCAGGAGGCATTTTCCATACTTGCAGAGTATCAAGAAGCACTAAATAGTAGGCAGTCTGCACCATTTCATTTTGCAGCTCATTTTGCATTTGTTTATAATAATGTTGGCTTTTTTGTTTTTATATGCTGTCAACTACTTTCAAACACTTACAAAGATAAACTAGCAGACACAGTCCTTGTTGCATGTATACCTTCTCCTGATGCCTGTTCACTTATCTTGGAATTTATAACAATATTAGAGTTTGTTTTAAACTTTGCTCAACATGTGTTGGAGATAATCTTTCATTTTTTCATCGTCGCCCACCAAAATAGAAATTATGGAAAAAAAATGTAGAAACTTTTTCCAAGACTTCAGAAATTTCTGAGGTAAACTGTGTCCCAGGCAGCTTTTACTTGGAAGTGCTGTAAATTGGTGAAACCTGATGTTACTAATTATATTTCTTTTTTTTTCCCTATAATATGTAATCATGTCAAATAATGTATATATTTTTTTTATGCATCATGTGTTCTTTAAAGCCTGTTAACACATGATGATATCATCAATTAGAAAACTATTAATAGCATTACGCAACCTCTTTCCTGTCTCAGAAAAAATCCACACAGAGGCTGTTTCTAGCAACTGGTGTGGTTGGAAGGGATGTATCTGTAGAATGAGGCAGCTGGTTCTGAAGACATGGTGGACACTTTACACTGAACTGAGTCTGGTCCCACTCAAACAAAATCCTATTTGTGTAGTCCAAGTTTACACTGCAGGGTGAAGCAAAGCATTGTGAGTAGGAGGGATTGAGTGAGATGGAGAGATTTTGCTCAAAAATGCAGTTGCTGTCTGAATGAAAGGTTAGTGCACCCAGAGATACATGAGATTCCCCAGGTTATTCCTGAAGTTAAAATGATGATAGTGTAATTTATCTCTGGGCAATCAAAGAGTTTTGGATAGAATTACTGCAGATCAAACAAACTAGAAAAGATAGACAGATCCCCAGTGTCCATGCAGTGAGCAGTGTAACCTGAGGTCAGAACTTTGGTTGATTAATCTAATTGTTATCTCAGATAAACTAATGTTGCATTGGCAAGACATCTTAGATTAACTTTTGTCTTGAACTCATCCCCTCAGTTTAATACTGGGTCTACTGAGTGTCTCTCTTATGATAATTAGTTGAAGATTGGTTGATGTTTCTTTGCTATGAAATATGTAATAAGTATAACTTGTATTTTTTTGTAAGGTTTGCTGAATTCTACTTTGGCTGGTTAGTCCCTCTGTTTGGAACAGTCAGGGATTTCCTGGTGAAACACCATTTCTTTGGAAGTGTAAACCCAACAAAATGAATTGTTTTTTCAGAAGTGTTTTACACAAACCTATTTGCTGGAGACAAAATTCTGTTAAGCAGTTTGTTCAAACTTCTCTCTGTTTGTATGTGGCTTTCTACTACCTGGCTTGCCAAGCACTGGAGGGCATAGTGATGCCATTTCAACATCCATGGCCTGCAGGTAGACCAATTAAAATCAAACCAGACTGTGAGATATTGCCATTTCCTTCAAACTGACAATGCCAAGATATGAACAGTGCTAAATGCATTAACCATGGATAATCAGCCCGGTACAGGTAATACTGGGATCATTATGTAGTTATTTTTGTAAAGATGGAGTATATGTAAATGATGTCTAATTCTTGTTCAATTTCCCTTCTGGTTAAACAAAAAATGCCATCATTTGGTTTAGGAAGAGGATTATCTATAACATTGAAAAATGTTGACCATCTGTTCGCTGTCATTAAGAAGTTCTGGCAATATTTTGAAAGAAAATGAGGTAATAGTTAAGTCAAACAACTTACGTGCCAGCTGCTTTTTTTAACAACTGCCAAGACTTCTTTTTTTTTTTAAGTAATGAAACTAACTTTGCCAAATGTAGCATTAAACAATTATTGTACATGCCCTCCTGACCCAACCTAAATACACTGAACTTAGCTCTCTAATGAGAACCACACCATATACTAACTAAAACTGCATAAATAAACTCCATCTCATTGCATTTGAAAGGATTCCTTATGCAATGGGTGTCAAGACCAAACCTGTTGGTATGTGCAGTCTTACATCATCTCTCTTTGAGGACTTCTGGAGGGGACCTGTCTTGTCTTATCTTACAGACCTTGTATAATTCAGTAATGGTGAACAACTATGTTTAAGCAGGGTAACTGAGGAGTCTCTGGTAGCAAATCTC